TGATCTTCCAGAGGTCGATGAGGAGCCCGATGAAGACGCTGACTTGCACCACGAAGTTGGTTTCGTTGTCCAAAATATAGAGGAGGACGACGAGGGACTGGAAGACGCCGAAGAAGACGGAGCGGACGGAGAGCCCCTCCAGAGATTGCCGGCTGTTCCAGAACTGGATATCTGTAGGGAAGGGGCCCAAACCGTCACCTCGCCGGAGGGGAAGGGGAACCGGAGGCTGCGGAGAGCTACCGCGGCACGCGCCCCGGCGGAGGGAGCGAAAGGAACAGGCGGCGCGAGATGCCGTCTGGCGTCGGCGCAAGCGGCGGGGACCCGAAAAACCACAACTTTCCGCCTTTCCACCCTCAAGTCAGCCCTGCGGCGCGGAGGAGCGCGGCCGAGGAGCGCCGGCTGCCTCGACGCGCGCCACAGCGGTCGCAGCCCGCCCCAGGACACGGGTGGGTTTCGGGAGCCGCGGCGGCGGCGTCCGGCCGGCCGAGACCGCGCCGCCGCGGCACGAAGACGCCTCCGCGGGAACGAGAGGGTTTTAGGCCGCGGCACCGCCTTCGCGTCTTTTCCGCGCGTCCCGCGGCGGCGCTCACCGTTTTTGAAGGCGAGGAACTCAAAGATGCTGTGCACGATGGAGACGACGATGGTCAGCGCCAGCAGGTAGGGGTTCGTCTCCAGGAGAGCAACCTGAAACGGGGATCAAAAAACCTCTCTCAGGCTCCATCCCGCCTTCCCGCCATCCAAACCGGGAGGATCCCGGAGGATCCAGCCGGTTGCCGGAGCACCAACGAGGACGAGGGGTTTAATTGCTCTCTCGTTATGGTCTCCAAGCTCCATTTCCCCTTCGTAGCCAAGGCAGGCAGCAGGCAGCTGCCTGCACGCCCCTCCTTCTCGGCATCGGTAATTAATAAGGAGCGATCGTAACGAAGAAGGGGTAGGACTCCGCCAGCGAAGCTAGGGAAAGGCGGGAAACGCAGGGGAAGGGCGAGCAGGAGAGCTGCGGGCGGGAGGAGGGAGGCCCGCAGGCGGCTCTCACCTTCACCGAGTCCTGCTCCTCGTCCGACTGCTCGTAGAGATCCTCTCCCAAGAAATTCCAGGGGGATTTGGTGCTCTGGGCGGCGTAGAGCTGCCAGCGCCACAGGGAGAGCGGGCAGAAGGAGAGGCGGAAGGGCAGGCGCTGCAGGGTCTCGTTGATGGGGAAATAATCCTTCTGCAAGTTCCAGTAGTCGTTGAAGTAGAGGATGGGGTAGTAGTCGCCGCTGATGGCGTCAAACTTCACATCTGGAGGCGAGGGGAAAGAGCAGAGAGGGCTGAGAAGGTGACAGGGAGCGGTGAGAGCCGTCGTCCCCCTCGGCAGCCACCTGGGAGAGACCGAGAGGGTGCTGAACCCCGGCCCGGCGCGGCACGAGCTCCCGGAGAGGCGCGGGGTCGCGCCGCCGATGGGAAAACAAACCCCTGTCCCCCAGAGGAGCCCAAACGAGCCTTCGAGGAGGAGGGAGAGCAGGGCGAGCCCCGGCAAGCCACCCTCAGGGCAGGGGAGCCCCGGCGCGTCCCAGCACTCACACTGGTCCAGGGGAGGCGGGACGCTGCCCTTCACCCAGGGCGTGTGGTCGTCCACCATGTTGATGGTCAAGTTGGGGTGCCAGTGCGAGATGACCTCCACGGGACCGTAATCTTCCGCCCTCTGTAACGAGAACGCCGCCGTCTCCGTCACCGGCAGGGCGCCCCTCCATCTCGCCCCGTCCCCGCTTAAAGGAGGCGGCAGAAAGGGGAGCGGGAAGGGGCAGAGCCAACCCTCCCGTCCCAAAAACGCTACAAGGAAACCCTCACCCTCCGCAGCGCTTCCCGACAGCTTCGCGTGCGAATATTTAAGAGTTTGGCCAACGGGGTGAAAAATAACCCCCCCCAAAAAAAAAAAAAAACCCGAAAGGAAGAGCCGGTTACCTTGATCATTTCGGGATCTGCCTCCGTCTCACCCGTCAGGAGGTTTTTGGTTTTCTGGAACCGCCGGCGCTTGTATTTGTTGATCACTGGAAGGAAAGAGGAGAGGTGAACGTTGCCAGCTCCGCACAAAAAAGAAACGTAAGGAGGTTACGGCCTGCCGGGAGGGGAGCGGGGCGTTTTACGACAGGCACGAGCTGACCGCAGAAGCCCGTTTCCCTCGCGTCACACCCCCCCCAAATTAATTTATCCGTAGCATCTCACAGATCTTCCACTTATCAAAGGGAAAGGCTGTAGTTTGGGGACAAGGAACCAGATTAACAGCCAAACCTTTGGGATAATCGCGTCGCTGTTGGAGGAAAACACCTGAGATGAAGTATCCGGATCTTCCCGTCCTGCAGGAAGACCTGAACATGGCAATTCCTTCCTCTTCTCAACGCTGACGGGGTTCCGCACCCCCCGTACGGGTAGGGACCCCCCCCTCCCGCGTAACGTGGAGGGAAACCAAGAGCTCGCGGAGATTTAAAGAGGTTTTTCCTCCGTAGGTTCACAAAAGACAAATTCCAAGCGCGGAAAACGTCCCGCTCAGGGAGCGGCCGAGCCAGGTATTTGCCCTAACCTTCCCCATCAGGCACCTGGATTTGCTGAGCCAAAGCTCAGCCCGATTCCTTCAGGCTCCCGTTCCGACACGGGAACTGGGGCGTCCCCTTTCCCCGCCGCCGCCGCGCGCTGCCCTCCCGCCCCCCGAGCCGTACTTCGCGACGTGTGGACCGTGGCGAGGCGCCTGTAGAGGTTTTTCTGCCTGGGATCGGGATGGAAGCCGCTCTTCGTGAAGTAAACGTGGACGTAGATGGAGCCGTTCTGCTGGACGCTCTGAAATCACACCCCGCCGGGGCGGTTATGGGTCGGACGCGGTCGGAGCCGCCTCACCGCCGACCATCGACCCCGTACGAAACCAAAGCGGGAAGGAGGGCAGCACACCTACGGCTTTCGTCACCGCCACCGGGCACAACACAGCCGGCCGGC